TTTGTTCTTCTTTAATTTGTTCTTCTTTAACTGGTTCTTCTGTAACTATCTCTTGAACCACTTCTTCTTTAACTTTTTCTTGAATTGGTTCTTCTGAAGTGCTTTCTTTTGTTTCTTCTTTAATTGGCTCTGCATAATTTTCATCAACTCCTTCTTGAGCTTGTTCTTCTTTGATGCTTTGAGCCTGTTCTTCGATAATATTTTCTTGAGGTAACTCTTCTGTAACTGGGTTTGAAATAACCTCTTCTTTTATTATTTCTTGAGACTCTTGTTCAGTTACTTCTTGAAGGCTTTCTGGATGATAACCTTCTGCTTCTTTTTGTGTCTCTAAGTAAACTTCTTCTTTTGGTTGTTCTTCTGTTTCAATATTTTCTTCAGTTACTAAGTTTTGTGAAGGAGTTTCTTCATAAGTTGGTTTTTCATGAATATCTTCTATTATCAAGTCAGGTTGTTTCGTTTCAGTTATAACCGAACTATCTTGTTGTTCGTTTTGTTGCTCTTCTTGGATTGTTTCATCTCTCTGGACATCTTGGTTAATTTCTTCATATTGTTGATTTTCTCCTGTATAATCATCTGCAGGAGGATCTTCTACGTGATATTTTTTAGTGTTATGGTCATATACATAATAATATCCATCTTCTCCATAATACGATTCTCCATAATACACGTCTTCATAATAAGCTTCTTCTTCTTCTATAATCTGGGTAGGTTGATCTCCAACTACAGTCATTGACCTATCTCTATTTGAACGGTCAGGAATATCTTCATTAGTTAAACTTGCAGATAGTCTTGGTTGCTTACTTTTTCTTGGAGCAGGAACAGGAGGAGGAATAAGATCTTCAGTAGAAGATTGAGTTAATTGTTCTTGAGGAGTGGCGTCAGTAGGAATTGGTGGTAATGCCTTTTTTCTTTTACCATGAACTTTAGGTGGAAGTGGAGGCAATGGAGCTAGTTCTGGAGGTAAGTCAACTGCTTTAATATAGTTAATAAGTTGAGTCTGCCAGTTATCATTAATTTCAGGATTAATATCTCTATTAGTTGCAACACAACCAATTAACTGAGATTGTCCACTTTTTTTATCTTTTTTTCTAGTGATTAATGCATTAAAAGGGGCGGGATAATCTTTAAAATATTGTGAGTATTTTGTCATATCATCATCACTCATATTGTCTTTTAGAGTTAATGTTTCTATTGAATCAAAAAATCCAGTTAAAAGGATAACTAAATTTGAAGCAAATTCTTTTTCTACATGTAATTCACAAATAAATAATTTTCCAGATTGAGAAAAAACACAACGATATCCAGGAGGTGTTCTAAGAACATTTGTAATCATAAGATGAAACTTCTCATCAAAGAAAGCTTTATTAATAATATCAATTGGTTTATTTGTTTTTATTTTAATAATTGTAAACATTTGACTTTCCATTTGATCTATCTTTCTAACAAATTCTTTCATATATGGTCTAAACCCATAAACAATTGGTGCTTCATCATCTTTAAAATCATTAGGAGATGTAGTTAAATGTAATTGGTCAATCATATTAAATATTTCAAAATAGTTTTTTTTAACGAGAGAAGGCATGTTAAGAAGGTCTGTGTATTCTTCAAATCCATTAATAGTCTCTTTATTAATCATTGGTTTTATAATTTCAATTGAATGTTGTTTTTTGCCGTATATAACAAATTCGCTCTGATTTTTATTTTCATTTACTAAACAAAAGTGTAAGTCATTTGTTGATGGATGTCTAAATTGAATTGCTAAATAATGAGTAACTAATTGTTGAATATTTGCATCACCAATACATTCAACTTTTGAAGTTAAATAAACATAGTTTTTAAATTCATTTTTAAGATGAGGACCAACAAGTTTAAGTTTTTCGGGATTGCTTTTACATGTTATAAATTGTTTCTTTTCAAATTTGAGTGATCCTCGTGATAATCCAAGTTTCTCTTCAATATGTTCTAAAATAGGTTCGTTTTGGAGTAGTACTTGATAAATCGGTTTATCAATCTTGATTGACTCCGTTTTCATTCTGTTTTTTTTTCTTGTCTTTTTTTTAGTTTAACCACTTTTTTCAGTTTTTCTTGAATTTTTTTATAACTTTCCATCGGTTCTGATATTTTTAGATGATTCTTGGAGCATCTTAGTATGAACTTCCATTATAAGTCTTTAATCTTTTTAATTCTTTTTCAGTTCTATTTGTTTTGATGATTTGATGACAAGATTTTTCTTAAAACTCAGTGGATGTAAACTTGGAATTTTTTTATAATTAAAAATAATCTTTGACTTTTTAAATTTGAAACAACTTGAAAAAGAAAATCTGTCTTTTAATTCAAGTGAAAAGACAAAAAGATTTAAACAAAAATTGATAGCTATAATGGTTGTCTGTCGTTAGTAATTAAAAATGAAAGAAAAAATGATGAAAGAAACATGTTATTCATATTCTTGGGACTTAGTCTCTAGTGTTTATCTTCAAAGATATCCAACAACACCACTTTTTCCAATGCTTTTAAACCATGAAATTAGTCTTATTAGATGGAAAGTAGAAGATGGTTTATTTTATTGTGAAAAAAGATCAACTATGTTCGTTCCTGTTCCTAAAGTTTTACAAAAGGTTTCTAAAGTTGACCATTGTTATATTTATCAGAATTTAGTTATTGATATTCCTCACCAAATTATGAAAGAATCTTCATGGAATAGAGTAGATGCTAAAACATATCATATGTTAGAAAATGCAATTTGGAGTGGTGATGAAAATGGACATACCCAATTTAGTGTAGACTCAATAATTTCTATTTCACCTAAAATTCCAAAACCTGTTGCAAAACCTGTATTAAAAAGAGTGGTTAAAGAGTTTAATAATGGGTATGACCTGGCACGAAAAGTTGACAAGGTGATGATTGAAGATTTTGAAGATAAGATTACATCACTTGTTAAATCAATTAGAGAATTTTGTGATCGACAAATGGAACACCAACACCTTTTTGTTGATTTAGACTTTAGTACATCTTTTGAATATTGCTTTGAATTACCAGAACTCACTGGAAAGTATATTTAAGGTAATTTAACATCAAGTGCTGTTTTATTTTTTACAATTCAAAAATAATTTAAAGTGTTGAATCTTTAAAAAGATGAAAACTAAAAAAAATACAATGTCTGAAAAGAAAAGCAAAAAGGCTTCAAAAACACCACAAGTTATTGATAACACAAACTCAACATTTAACCTGACTTTTGAAAAAAATAAAGAATTTGATTTTAGTGATGATGATGAAAAAGATGATCAAGTAGAAGTCGATCCTTCTACTAGTGAAATACCTAAAAGAAAAATTAGTATTGTATTAAATGATGCACCAACTTTAAGGAAAAGCAACACGTCACGTATTTCTACACTTCCACCATCAAAAACTAGATCTTCTCTTACAGCTAAAAATGATTTTGAAAAAGGTATTGATGCATTTGAATTGGGTGATTATAATAAGGCTGTACAATATTTCTTTGGTTATGCTACTACAACAGAAAAGAAAAAAGAAACTCAACTATGTTTATCTTACCAACTTGCTTGTAATATTATTCATAGAATTATGTCTGCACCAGGAACTATTGATGTTTATTTGGCTAGTATTTTAATTTGTTTACCATTACTTCCTCCTCACCGAAGAGTTGTTTTACGAATAGCAAAAAATATTTTTATTAAAGAGAATATTCAACTCCCAGAGAATTTACGAATATTTAGTGGTATTTCAGAAGAAGTAAATTCATCTCGTCAACCATTAAATGGTATTTGTTGTCATTGTAAAAAAGAAGTTTCATTAATTAGAAGTCAATGTGATTGTGGAAAAGAAAGAATTTTTGATTGTATATCTTTCACTCCAGCTGGTGAAAACCCAGTGAAATGCGAAAAATGTGGGGCTATCTTTTCACAAGGCGAAAGTTGTGTATTTTGTAAAGGAACTTGTCATCCTCTCACCCTTTAATCACACATTTTTTTGTCTTATTTTGTTGTTTTTGTACAAATTGAAGTAAATAAAAATTAATATGAAACAACCAAAAAGAACTTTAAAAGATTTAATAGATTAATGTCACTTGAAGATCTTTAAAGAAAAGACAATTCTGTCCCAAAAGCAAAAAAGAAGAAAGAAAAAATAGGAAATAATAGTACGTGTTTACATAAAATGTGAATTGAAAAAATGAAAAAAAAGATTTAAGGAAAAGGATAAGAGAGAAAAAAATAAATAAAAAAAAAGGAGAATAAAAAAGAAGAAAAAGAAACTGATACAACTGAAAAATCAGATATCAATGTCAAGAGGTAATTACGATCATCTTTTTAAGATTTTAATCATTGGGGAATCTGGTGTAGGAAAGACTGCTATTATGCAAAGGTTCTGTGAGAATACATTTGAGCCAGTATATATTTCAACTGTAGGTGTTGACTTTAAACCAAAAGTAATTAAAGTAGGAAATAAAACTGTCAAAATGCAGTTATGGGATACTGCTGGACAAGATAGATTTAGAAATATTACAGCAAGTTATTATAGAGGTACTCAAGGAGTATTAATTGTTTATGACGTTACTGATCGTGCTTCTTTTGATAAAGTATCATCATGGTTCACTGAAGTTCGTGATCGTACTGAAAATGATCCACCCGTTATTATTTTAGTAGGAAATAAGACTGATCTTATGGACCATGCAGCCGTTAAGCAAGAAGCTGTTGAACAATTAGCCAGACAATTAGGTGGTGTTCAAACCTTCACATGCTCTGCTAAAGATGGTTCTGGTATTGATGAAGTTTTCAATGCACTTACTCAAGCCATTATTTCTAAAGTTGGATGTGCTCCTGGAAAGAAGGAAGATCCTAGTGTTGTTCAATTAGGTGGTAAAGGTGGTTCACAACCAGCACAAAAGAGTGAAGGTGGTTGTTGTTAAAATGATTTCTCTTCTTTGAAATACAAAAATTTACTTTTTTATTATCACTAATAAAACTCTTTCGTTTTCTTCTTGAAAAAAAATTTAAAAAATCAAATAGAAAGAAATTCTATTAATTTTAAATTATGGCTATTGAGTGTAGTGAAACTATTACACAAACTTTTAAAGGATATTTGTCTGAAGACTGGATGTTTTATTGTTGTAGTGAAGAAATATCTTTATATGACTATAACCCATCAACTCAACAACTAGAATTTGTTGGTGTTTGTGGAAATTTTGTATTTTTAAAAACGTTAGTACAACAACGAATTGCTATTGCAATTAAAGATTCATTACGACCATTACTATTTATTTTCAGAGAAATTGATCCATTGTGTACTCTTCAATTAGAGAGTTATACTATTACTTTTAATAATAATGGAAATTTATTTTCATTAGTATTTATTGACGACGAAATATGTAAACAATGTTTTGCTTGTATTCAAAACCAAGTCATAAAACACTTTAATAAATATTTAAAACGAACACATCTCACTCCAGAAGAAGCTCGAAATAAAGCAATAAAAGTTGAAGAAGTTGCTGATAATGCAATGACATTTGGAAGTGATAAAGATAAAATTCAACATTATTTGAATTGTACTTTACCTTATTATTGTCTCCCAAATCCTTTTAAACGATTGGGTGTACCACAAACAGTGTCTTTAGACCAAGCCTTACCACCTGAAATAGTTATTCCTGATCCAAAAGTTGACCAAAGACATGGAATGGGAATTAATCCACCAATTATTCCTATTCTAACTTTGCAAGAAATACGTCATGAAAGTACATGTAGTCCTGATAATTCTTCGGAACAAGATCCTTTCAATTCAGAATCAGCTAGTTCAAGAAAGGTTGGTCGGATGACAGTTTCTGAACTTAAAATAAAAATTGTTAGAGGATCAACATTTGACACAGGTTCTTCTCGAACATTAAATGGAAATAGTTTATTTCCAAGAATGCCTACATCCCCTAGATCTATCTTGTCTCCACGTTCAAACTCTCAATCTAAAAAATCTCCAGATAATTAATAATTGTTTCTCTTCGTTCTGAAAGAATTTGAAGTATTTTCTTTATTTTTTTTTCAATTTTTTTATTCTTTAATTTTTTTGTTGTGAATAAAACCCCTTTTTTTAGATTAAAAGAAATGATGAATAGAACCTCGAATTTCACAGAACGAATAAATGAGTTTATCTTTGTTTGTAATGAAAGTAATTTATTAGATTGATATGAAATGAAAAGACAAGTTATTTATAAATTAGATGAAATTACAAGAGTTTAAAGATGGGTGTAAAGGAACTGGGTTAACAACAAATGAAATAAATGTTTGTTAAATTTTAAGAATAAAAAAGAAAAGAAGAAATAAATATTGAAAGAATAGAAAATGCATTCGATTATGGCAATACTTGGATTTTATGGAGTCAGTGATGAATATATTTTATCAAAAATAATAGATGATATTGACAATGGGACAGTTTCAATAGCAAACAAATACCAAATGAATGAAGTTGTAATGATATTAAGATTTCTCAAGAAACAGTCAACTCATTTACCTCAGATTGAATTTAAGAAAATTACATCAAAAGAAGAACGATTTTGGAATATGATTAAAGAAGTTGATTTGAGTAGAATGAATGATCAAGAAAAAGAAGAATATTGTGTTGAATATATTAATGGATTTGGATTTAGAAATATTCGTGAATGGATAAAGAAAATAAAAACACCATATTATTCATATGCATTTTCTGTAATACAATATATTCTTGTTAAAACAAATCATTATGATAATATATATGAAATATTATACATTTTTAATACACCTGAAAAAGTTCAACATGATACTTTTATTTCATTATTTGAAGAACTATTTGTTACAATAAGAACTCAGTGTCACCTTGATTCTTTTATTAAAATTATTGGGTTATGTGTTGATACTCCAAAATATTTTTCAAGAAAACAAATTCTTTTAATTAATGAAATTTATGATACTTGTCAGAAAGTTAAAGGAGTTGTTAATTCAAATGAATCAGAAACATCACTATTTGATAAAAATATATTAATGGAAGTTAAAGAAAGGGCTCAACAGCGATATGATGAGATGAAAAGAAAACAAGAGATAGAAGAACAGATGAGAAAGAAAAGACAAGAAGAAACAAAACGAGAAAGATCTCATTCTAGACATTCAACAGAAACACAACTTAAGTCGTTGTATTTAGAAGATACATCTGAAAGAAATAAAAAAGAAAATTATTATCATAGATTGTCTAGTAGAAAATATGAAGAAGAAAAGAAAAAAGTATTTTCATTAGATGATTTACCTGGATTTGGGACAAATGAATTAAGAGTATTTGATGAAAAAAAAGGAAGTAAAGAAACAACACAAAACAAAGAAGTTAGTGGATCATTATTACCTGAATCAAGTGAAGATGAAATGTTTGACATAAAAGATATGAAACATCATCAAAATATATCTATTTTATTAAAAAGACCAAAAGAAGGTATTAAATATATTCAAGAAGCAATTGAAATTGGAGGTATACAATCATATTCATATGAAAATCAAATGAAAGAGTTAATGATAGAATTTGAAACTCCACAAGACTTACAAATGTTTTTAAGAACAAGAATAATTGGAGGAACAAATTCTAAAACATTTTAAAAAGTTGTTCAAATAATTATATGTTATTATTTTAAAACATTAAAATTGTTAAATATATTAGTTTTATTTAACAAACTACTTTATAGAAGAAATCTTGATTAAATATGTAATTTAGATATTAAAAAATGAGTGTAAGTATTGCTCATTAATATACTTTATTAGTCATTCTGAAGTAAATAAAAAAAATTGTTCTTCATCAAAAATTTATATATCTCTGTATTAGTTTTAAAAACACTCTTCTTCTTTGTTTATTTATTTTAAGAAATAATAATTAATAAATTAAATTTTTATTAATGAAAATTTATTTATATTTTGTAAAAAAAACAACTCCTTAATACTTTTAGTTTAAAGTAATTTATTATAACAACATTATTATTATTTTCTTTCATTACTACGATTTTTAAGAGAAATTTATTTTAAATGTCATTATTCTACAATTTGAATAATACTAAAATTGTTGGATGTACTTTGCTTAGAAGAATAATTTTTTTATTAATTTTATTCAATCAAATATTTATTAATTGTATTGATTAATAACTAAAAATAAATTATTTGAATGATTTATTATCTACTTTCTATTTAACTCTAACACTTTTCTCTTTTTTATTAATATAGTTTTAAAAGCAATTTGTAAGTGTTCATTGTAATAAATATATATTTCGACTGAAAAATTGAGTTAATTTATTAAATTTATTTTTCTCAAAAAAGAGAAATTTCTTTTAATTCATTATCTTTCCATTGA